TATTTACAGTGCCTTGCGAAAGTATTCGGCCCCCTTGAACTTTGCGACCTTTTGCCACATTTCAGGCTTCAAACATAAAGATATAAAACTGTAATTTTTTGTGAAGAATCAACAACAAGTGGGACACAATCATGAAGTGGAACGAAATTTATTGGATATTTCAAACTTTTTTAATAAATAAAAAACTGAAAAATTGGGCGTGCAAAATTATTCAGCCCCCTTAAGTTAATACTTTGTAGCGCCACCTTTTGCTGCGATTACAGCTGTAAGTCGCTTGGGGTATGTCTATCAGTTTTGCACATCGAGAGATTGAAATTTTTGCCCATTCCTCCTTGCAAAACAGCTCGAGCTCAGTGAGGTTGGATGGAGAGCGTTTGTGAACAGCAGTTTTCAGTTCTTTCCACAGATTCTCGATTGGATTCAGGTTTGGACTTTGACTTGGCCATTCTAACACCTGGATATGTTTATTTGTGAACCCTTCCATTGTAGATTTTGCTTTATGTTTTGGATCATTGTCTTGTTGGAAGACAAATCTCCGTCCCAGTCTCAGGTCTTTTTCAGACTCCATCAGGTTTCCTTCCAGAATGTTCCTGTATTTGGCTCCATCCATCTTCCCATCAATTTTAACCATCTTCCCTGTCCCTGCTGAAGAAAAGCAGGCCCAAACCATGATGCTGCCACCACCATGTTTGACAGTGGGGATGGTGTGTTCAGGGTGCTGAGCTGTGTTGCTTTTACGCCAAACATAACGTTTTGCATTGTTGCCAAAAAGTTTGATTTTGGTTTCATCTGACCAGAGCACCTTCTTCCACATGTTTGGTGTGTCCCCCGGGTGGCTTGTGGCAAACTTTAAACGACACTTTTTATGGCTATCTTTAAGAAATGGCTTTCTTCTTGCACCTCTTCCATAAAGGCCAGATTTGTGCAGTATATGACTGATTGTTGTCCTATGGACAGAGTCTCCCACCTCCGCTGTAGATCTCTGCAGTTCATCCAGAGTGATCATGGGCCTCTTGGCTGCATCTCTGATCCGTCTTCTCCTTGTATGAGCTGAAAGTTTAGAGGGACGGCCAGGTCTTGGTAGATTTGCAGTGGTCTGATACTCCTTCCATTTCAATATTATTGCTTGCACAGTGCTCCTTGGGATGTTTAAAGCTTGGGAAATCTTTTTGTATCCAAATCCGGCTTTAAACTTCTCCACAACAGTATCTCGGACCTGCCTGTTATGTTTGAAGCCTGAAATGTGGCAAAAGGTCGCAAAGTTCAAGGGGGCCGAATACTTTCGCAAGGCACTGTACTTTCCAGGACAGCAATTCACTAAAAATGTTTTTCTAGGTCTTATGAGGTATTCTAATTTATTGAGATAGTGAATTGGTGGGTTTTTATTAAATGTGGGCCAAAATCATCACAATTAAAAGACCCAACAGCTTAAACTACTTCAGTCTGTGTGTACTGAATTTACATAATACACGAGTTTCACTATTTGAGCTGAATTACTGAAATAAATGGACTTTTCCACAATATTCTAATTTATTGAGATGCACCTGTATATCTCAATTAGACATTTTGATACAGATTCATTTTATTTTTCAATTCCTTGGCATTTTTTGTGCACTTAAAGCAATTTCATAACATAAAAAAGTAAAGCTCTTTACCACAACCTCAAGTTCTGTTGACATTATATAAGTGTATTATGCATTGTTAGCTATGACAAAAGGCATATCATGAAACAGGGTAGCATGTTGTTGGCTGCATTTTGTCACAGAGAGAGAAAGCATAAAGAACAGTGCAGAAACCCTAACAAGAACACTGCAAGAAATGAGTTGGAGGAAAAAGGAATAAGGAAAATATGAACTGGCTAACCCCCCTGGCATTTACACACTTCATGGATTACACCATGTGTGCATACTGGATGGATTTTGTATTACATTTAATCAGTAATGATTATCCATGACAGTGATACTCAGATGATAGTGAGTACACTACTGAGTACTAGGCCTGTAGCTGTAGATTACAGCATGTGGAAGGGAGTAGCTAATGGTTTTTATGACAAATCGGCAGAGAAGGGACTACACCAGTGAAGTTATGTGTCAGCAATTCAGCAAAATGAAAAGACAGAAGTCAAAATTACAGGCAAACAGCAGACAACCTTAGGAGCTCCACCTACATGGCACATCTTCTCTCTGACTGCTAGTGCTCTTCCTGACAGGGGCTTTCTTCTTAGAGGAGTCACAGCTAGCTACAGGAGAAGGAACTCTGGTGTCCTCACTGAAATCTGTGAAAACATCGTGCCATCATTAAATGAATAAAACTGCAGAAAAATAACTGGGTTGTGTGGGCTTAATTAGATATACAGTATAACCCTATTTAGCATCAACTGCATACTGTTATATAAAGGTGACTTTTCCCATGGCTTGAATGTGTTCATTTACAACACAGGGGATCTGTAGTCACTTTATTGAATATGTAAAATTTAGCACTTCCAAAAGCCTGAGGCCAGATCTGTTCATAACAACTATAATGAGGCTTTCCATTTAGCTCCAGTGATAAGACTGCATAATGGGTGTTATGAAACTAATGCTGGTTGAATCAGAGCTGCAGCTTCTTTCTCTGCTAAAGTCAGAGTAAGTGACTAGATGATGTGCAGGCTGAACAAGTAGTTTTGAAAATTTCTGATCCAACTAAAGTGACTGAGAAAAACAGTGAATCTGTCTGGAAAAACAGAAACTCTCAGTCTGACCAGTAAATTCAATAGTCAAATGAATTCTGGGTAGTTGAGTCATTTCTTATCTTTTCCAAAAAGGTTCATGGGATATCTACAATATACAGTGGGTACGGAAAGTATTCAGACCCCCTTAAATTTTTCACTCTTTGTTATATTGCAGCCATATGCTAAAATCATTTAAGTTCATTTTTTTCCCTCATTAATGTACACACAGCACCCCATATTGACAGCTGGACTCAAATGAAGATGTAGAACCATCTCAGGGATGATCAGAAGAAATGGACAGCACCTAAGTTAAATATATGAGTGTCACAGCAAAGGGTCTGAATACTTATGACCATGTGATATTTCAGTTTTTCTTTTTTAATAAATCTGCAAAAATGTCAAAAATTCTGTGTTTTTCTGTCAATATGGGGTGCTGTGTGTACATTAATGAGGAAAAAAATGAACTTAAATGATTTTAGCATATGGCTGCAATATAACAAAGAGTGAAAAATTTAAGGGGGTCTGAGTACTTTCTGTACCCACTGTATAGCTACTACCTCTAGAAGGAATAAGTTACCACTATGTACTATGTGCCAATATCAGTATCAACTCATGTCCCATTAGAGTGAACTTAGTACCTGGAGAAGGCACTATTCTGCCAGACATCTGAGTCATCTGGGGTGTTCTGGCCTGGAAGACACACAGACAAAAGACAAACAGAAAATCAGTCAGACAGATAGAAAGTCAAGCTGATTTCCAAAGCTGCCTGGATCCTTTTTGTGCTAGGATATTTCAGGGACTGCTGTGTTAATGGTCATTGTCAAAATGTACAGAGTAAATGATTGTCAGTGCATGTATTGTTGTGAATGTTCAGAAACAAATTAAAGCAAGATGAATGAGTCACAGTGGTGAGGTCTGTGTAGAGCAGAGTCACAGATGAAACTGAAGAACTAGAAAAAAACAAATGGAATGAATGTAGTAGACTGAATGTTAACTGTACTGTACCAAACTACAATTTGCTCATTTTACACCACAATACGTCTAATGGCCAGAGGCACAACTAATACATGGTTGCATGCAAGCAGAGTGATTTTTTTCACATACACTCACAGCCTTGCCCTATTAAAGGAGGTACCTAATGAACATGGCTATCTGTTTACAGTTTTGAGGATTTATAACAGCATAAGCTGATGTTTCTTCTAGATAAGGGGCCATATACACAAAGGACCTTATCTTCCCACTAGGAGTCCTCCTTTATGGTCCTAAATGTTCCTAACTAAGAGTTTGCCCTTAAGACCCTTTCACAAAACTGCTGAGAGCAACTATTAGCATAAGACCTGAGAGGACTAACTGCAAAAGATGGACCAGGGCTGACCGCTTTGCTATGACTGACATCCTGTTTCATGAGGGAACCTACTCCGTGTCTACAGTGACTGGTGAAAAGGTGACTGGTCTGTCATCAGTGAATGTGAAATAAAATGTTCATCATTACATAGGAGCATGAGGAACAAATTAAAATGGACAGACAGATCAAATATTCACTTGTTAATGGAAACAAATCTTCATGCTTTAACAGGGTAGGGAGCACCAATTTTACCTGGAAATCCAGAGCTGACTATGAAACCAGCTTTGTTTATGGATCAATTCATGGCATTATTCACAACCAGGCACATAACCTGCAGTAGTTGAATGACTATGGGCCAGTCTTAGTTGCACGGGAATACTCTGAACTGCCTCTAACTTCTCTCATACTTAGGACCCACCTTTAGCACTCTTGTTCCTAACCTGGCCAGGTAGGTGCTACTTTTAGCCTTGGGATGTTTTGTGAAAGTGATCCTAATTACGCCATTCAGTTAAATGCTAAAATATTGGTTACTATACTGGGTGCTCATGTTGTTGTCTGGCACAAGAAAGAGAAATATCATGTCACTAAAATGTTTACAACTGACTGAGCCACATTTTGGATAAAACAGCAGACAGACTGCAACATCCAGAACAGACAACTGCCATGGTGAGAAGCAGCCCAGTGGGACCATTATAGGTTAACAGGATAAAAACATAAATAGGACAATATAAGGACTCTGAGGGCAGACTCTAGGGGTATAATCACTGGAATATTGAGCAGAAATCTCACAAGAAGAAACGTACAGTATACAGGCCACGAGTAACTGTTATTACATAAAGCCAGCTATTTCAGGCACAGAGAGAAAAATATTTCAGGTGTGTGGCTGGGAAATAAGGTACCACTACTAATACCATGCACTCAGTGATCACCAAAGATCACAATTACAAAGTAGTTTTGAAGGCAACTTACAGGGTTAACATAAGACAAAACTGTCAAAACCAGGATTGTTGGAGCATTAGTGGAAAACACTGTAAAATTATGCTATATGGCATAGGGAGATGTGTTAGTAAATAATTAAGTTCAATGCCAAATGTATAAATTGTTATGGCACAAAATAAAATAAAAAACTGACAAAGAGGAACAATGGCCATAAGTAAACATTACAATTATTTGTCCAAGTGACAGTGAAATTATCAGGGGCTCGAAGTGGAGAGGGTGAACAGCTTCAAATACCTGGGCGTCCACATCAATGAGGTCCTCACTTGGACACTTTTTACCACTGCAGGGTGCAAAGGAAAGCTGCCTCCATCTTCAAAGATCCCACCCACCCCCAGCACAGACTGTTCGCCTCCCTACCCTCTGGCCGGAGGTTCTGAAGTGTGAAGTGTAGGACCTCTAGAGTGAGAAACTCTTTCTTTCCCTCTGCCATCAGACTCCTAAACAGCTGACTCAGGATCTACCTCATGTAATTCCATCTGTACTGTTCACACACTCATTTTGCACATGAAACAGCTCTTTGACAGTAGGTTTTTATACAATAGTGATAAGAATGATTCTTATGTGCTTTCAATTGCACCATTTGTTTCTATTAGGATTAGAACCACTAATATTCTATTCAGAGGTTCGCTCATACATAAGATCTTTCTATAGAACTTTACCTTCAGTTTTAGAGGCAGAGAATAGACAGGTTCTGTGAATGTATCGTTCTCCCCACTATCAAGAGTTTGGTAGATATGGTCCTCCCTGTCCTCTTCATTCTCCACCTCATCTTCCTTGTCTTCAAGCTCCTCCTCTGAGTGGACAGGGGAGGACAAGCATGGCCGGGCAGCCAAATCTTCTGACCATCTGTCTCTGAGAAAGACAGCAATACAGAATCTCAGTGTAACAGTGGACAAAAATTTGCTTAAATTCAAATGACAATTTCTTAAAGGGACAGAGTAAGAGTAATACAACCTATTTACCTTCTACTGTGAGTATTTTTCAGAGTAGACATTTTGACTTGTCATACTAGAAAACATGTGTGCTCCAAAAAACAGCCCCCACATATTAAATTGTCCCAGAAAGTCATAAGAGTGTGTCATGAAGACCAGGACCCTGAATGTCACTTTTCTGTGACATGTGTTCAAGGCAAGAAGCATACTTTTAAAAACCACTAATGAAAAATGGATTCTAAGCTTCAAAAAATTTTTGATGGTTTAAAGAGATAGATAGTCTCAGGTTCTAGAGAAACAGATTAGAGAGAACAGAAGAAAACTGGGACAGACACTCAGCTGGCAGTGTTCAACCCCAAATCAGAAAAAGTTGGGGCGGTATATAAAATCTAAATTAAAATTGAAAATAGTGATGTTTAAATCATCTGTGTCCTGTATTACACTGAAAACAACACAGCAGCACATTATTTGATGCGATACCTCATCAATTTTATTCTTTGTTCAAAATAAACACACTTCAATTCTGATGCCGGCAACACATTCCAAAAAAAGTTGGGACGGTTGTATTTCAAGGCCAGTAATGAGGTAAAACAATGAAATGATGATTCCATTTGAACCAGGTGATGTAAACAGGTGACTGCGATCATGATTTGGTATAACAGTGGCGTCCAAGAAAGGCAGAGCCTTTTAGGAGCAAAGATGATCAGAGGACCACTGGTTTGCCAACATATCTGTGAGAAAATTATTGAAATGTTTAAGAACAATGTTCCTCTAAGAAGGACATGAAGCAATTTGAATACGTCACCCTCTATGGTGCAGAACATAATTAAAAGATTCAAGGAATCTGGAGGGATTTCAGTGTTTAAAAGGCAAGGGCACAAACCTAAGACGGATGACTGTGCTCTTTGATCCCTCAAACCATTCTGCATCTGCGATGGGCCACCACACAGTGGAAACATGAACTGTGGTCAGACAAATCATTATTTCAGGTCTTTTTTGGAAGGAATGGATGCTGTGTCCTCCGGACCAAAGATGAAAAGCAAGGTCTTCTCTGTGACCAGCAACAAGTCCAAAAGCCAGGGTCTGTCATGGTCTGGGTTTGTGTCAGTGCCCTTGGCAAAGGTCACTTACACTTCTCTGATGGCTCCATTAATGCTGAAAAGTACATAGAGATGTTGGAGCAACATATGCTGCCTTCAAGACGACGTCTTTTCCAGGGACGCCCATGCATATTTCAACAAGACAATGCAAAAACTCATACTGCTACATTACCAAGGCCTGGGAGGAAAAGGGTGTGAGTGTTGAACTGGCCTGCCTGCAGTCCCGACCTGTCCCCAATAGAAAATGTGTGGTGCACTTTGAAACACAAACTGTGTCAGAACTGTTGCACACCTTAATACTTGTTTGCAGGAAGAATGGGTCAAAATGACCTTCACACTTAATCACTTGGTGTCCTCAGTCCCTAAACATCTCTTAAGTGTTGTGAAAAGGAACGGCAACATTACACTGTGGTAAATGTTTTACTGTCCCAACATTTTTTAGAATGTGTTGCAGGCATCAGAATTGAAATGAGTGTTTATTTTGAACAAAGAATAAATTAGATGAGGTATCACATCAAATAATGTGCTGCTGTATTGTTTTGAATGTAATACAGGGCACAGATCATTTACAAATCACTATTTTCAGTTTTAATTTAGACTTTACATACTCTCCCAACTTTTTCTGATTTGGGGTTGTATAATTAAGGCCTGCAGTTTTATAAGTATAAGCTTAACAAATTAACCCAATAAAGAGCTCTGGTTCTATCACCTGTATACCTGGTGTAATCTTACCTGTCTGAGCCCACTGCAACCAAAGTGTCCTCAGCGTGCTGACTCAAAGCAGCGTAGCCCTTGTTAAACTTCACTGTCCTAAGAGAATAACCAGAAAAACTCAAAACTAATTTATCTTCATCACAACAATAACTTTCCTCTTTCCTTGTTATGCCTTCACCCTTTACCTCTTGGCTCCTTGTCGGGGCTGATGCATCACTGGAGGTCCTGGTGAGAGGGCTTTCTTCTTCAGAGCCCTCCTTGCCATCTCCCTGTGTTTCTCTATGAATAATAAGAACAAGAGACATCACATGTATGGCATGTTACTTACACTTTAAACGACTCTAAATTGCCCGTAGAAGTGACTGTGAATGTGTTTGTTAGTCTACATGTCAGCCCTGTGATAGACTTGCGACCACAGGCAGAGAAAAGGTGATGTGATGAGTTGGATCACAGATTCAACTAAAGGTGAAGTAGAAGAGCTATATTGAAAATAGATTGTCTAAGTGATTTATTATAGTCCAGGGATACCATAATCCAATCATTTCTTTTTTCCTTTTAAGCTATCTTTTAACGGATATTCAAGTATATTTACAAAACAAACCCGTCTCAGTGCCCATATGTCTCTCCCGATTTGTTTCTAACCAACATGTCTAGTAACACCAACTATTCAAGGAAATAGAGACCAAAAGTCAAGAATATCCCAGTAATTCAGAGGATAAGCTCAGGTCCACTACACATTAGCTTTACCCTTTTCAATTACTGAACATATGAACATACTGTATGTAAAACAGAGACAAAAGCTTCTTTACAGTGTCCCTCCGGTAAAAAAAAGAAGTGATTCTTGCAAACCATTGTGCATCAACCAGGTGTTGCAGTAATTTACATGGTAAGAATAGATAATTTTCTGAATGATTCCATCTAACCTCATCTAACCAATCACCATCGCCCCACGTTACAGTATATGGAAGAATCGAAACAAAAGATCAGACTGTACTCACATTTCTACTGTACTGTCAATAGTGGTACTTACATACAGACAACAAAGGAAACTATACATAGTCTATTTACCTAGCAATGGAAACATACTGTAAAAAAGACAAAGTGGGAAGAACTATACATGTACAACAGAAGGTAAAGGTGAGATTACGTGGCAGTTTTCCTATGCGTCATGTCGGTCCTGTCTGTTGGGCCACAGATTCTCATCCACATCACAACATATATTTTGTCTTGCTATGCACCGTGGAAAGAATCTTCTTGAGTGCCTAATCCAGCCTCTGCATGCATCTGCTGAGATGTCCTCACATGCTGCATCCATGGCAGCCAGCAGTGTCATCCGCGTATGTGGCTGATGATCATAAACTTTCCACCGCCAAGCCGAGAAAAACTCTTCAATTGGGTTCAGGAATGGGGAGTAGGGTGGAAGGAATTCAATCAGCATCCTGCGGTGGTGGACAAACCACTGCCTGATGTTGTCAGAGCGATGGAAACTGACATTATCACAAATTACTACATACTTTGGTACATCATCTCGATTGAGGTCCCTCTCATCTTCAGGAATGACATTTCTATAGAGATTGTCTAAGAATGTAAGGAGATGCTGTGTGTTGTACGGTCCCATAATAGGAATATGAGCTAGCACACCTTGGTCTGACATAGCAGCACACATAGTGATGTTTCCTCCCCGTTGGCCTGGGACATCAACAGTAGCTCTCTGGCCGATTAGATTTCTACCACGCCTTCTGCCTTTGGCCAGGTTGAAGCCAGCCTCATCCAAGTATATGAAGTTGTGAGGTGGTTCTCTTCATTAACGAAGGTGAAGACTCACCTGAGAGCAATTTCTCAATTCTGGACATATTTCTTAGCAAACATCTACTCACACTTTGTAGAAATCTGTACAGACATACAATTCTGAGAACATGTTCACTCATTTTGATAGTACAGACTTCCAACCTGAAAAAAAGACTAATTGGTTTGGTGGTTGTGACATTTCAGCTGAGAACCAGGACAAGTTATTTTGCACAGCTGGACAAAAGCAACAAGAATTGTCAAAAACAGCTGACAGATGTACAGAACCATTTGCATGTTGTCCAAAAGCAATTGCAATTTGATGAAAACAACAAGAAATTGCTGATATGATGTGAACAACTGACAACAGAATCTGACGGTTGAACGAGTAGTTCTGAGAAATGCAGTTCTGTTGTGAGAAATGAATGAAAGCGATAGAGAAAAACTGTAATCACTTGGTGTCCTCAGTCCCTAAACGTCTCTTAAGTGTTGTGAAAAGGAACGGCAGCATTACACCTTGGTTTTACTCGTTGTGAAAAGGAACGGCAACATTACACCTTGGTAAATGTTTTACTGTCCCAACTGTTTTGGAATGTGTTGCAGGCATCAGAATTAAAGTGTGTTTATTTTGAACAAAGAATAAAATTGATGAGATATCACATCAAATAATGTGATACTGTCTTGTTTTCACTGGGTTAATACAGGACAAAGATGATTTACACATCACTATTTTCAGTTTTAATTTAGATTTTATATACCATCCCAGCTTCTTCTGATTCGGGGTTGTGTTATATAAGACTATCCTCATTGATATAAATGGGGTGGACAAAATAACAAACACATTGTATGTCAGTATAATGCAATATATTTCCACACCACCACAAAGAAAAGCTTCAAAAGTGATCATACAACATCTGGATATTATCACCTTCATGAAGATGAATCTGTAGCAGAACTGCATTAGTTTTAGCATGATGTACCTAATTAACTACCAAATGTGCTATATACTCTATAGTGACATTTTTCTCCCCTTTTGTAAGCTCACATCCCACATTTTACTATCTCTTTCAAGATCACTGCATTTCTACTTTAATAAAGGTCAAATTATACTGCTACTGCTACAGTATTTCCAAAAGTATTACCAATTGCATTCCAATTTAGCCCAATTGGGACCAGTTTTCTTACTCTGACACACTTGATAAGTGCAGGCCCGGGTCAGGTATAAACTAGAGGTCAGCTCTTGTAGTTACAAAAATTTGTTCCAAAGCTTGCGATAATAGTGGTGAATGACCCAGAGGGAGCTTACCTGGTGTTAAGTGCTGTGCTGAGGTTTGGTTCAGATGTGAAGGAGTCTGATCTGTCACTCTCAGAGAAAGACCTTGGTCGGACAGGAGGGATGGCCCATGTTTGTCCAGTGAGTGAAGAAGATAAGATGGCTGCTGCTAAGGCTGATCTGTTGATTGAAAGAACATTTAATTTGAGGAGAGACTGACACTTTGTTTAACAGAAAGACACAAAAATACTCATTATCACATCACAATTTCATATCATAAGTTAATATTTCTAATGTTGGCATTCATGTCACATGTTTAGAAATGGGAGCATCTCCCTCCTTTCCCTAAATGAGTTTGACAAATGAGTTTAACTTTCACCATGTGAAATACTGTGGCTGAACAACCACTGAATGTTTACAAATGTCCCCTTCATCTACCCCTTGATTACCAAAGCACAAGAACAACCTTACAACCAGATACAGTATGTTCAGCAAAAAAATTTTTTAATTTAACTCCACAACCACATTTGTGGTAAAGGACAAAAATGTATGATGAGGACTGAGTACTTAACAAATCAATCAGCAAGGTCTTCTGCAAACATCACAATATTGTGGCAGAGGAAACACAACAAAACAGAAGGATGTTGGAGGGTAAAGGCAATGCCGTGTGTTAGGTACAGTACCTGGGTCTCTCAGGTGAGGGATCTGGGCTGCAGGGTGGTGGGGTACGAGGCACTGCAGGCTTTGGAGCAATGGAAGCCGCAGGGATCAAACCATGAACTATATGCTTCTACACAACACACACAGAGGGAAGGTCAGGGAGAAGGTTAGCATCACACAGACATAAATCACAACAGTATTTGTACTGAGACAAAGGAAGGTTTAAGTTAGTACAGAATACTGTTAACATCCACACAGCACCAGTAACCTTTTCTACTGGAGACACACTGTATATTGGCCATAACAGACACAGAATTCAATTGTATTTTAACTACATTTCCAAATCACAGCAGAGAAGTAGCTAACGTTAGCAGGCAATACATGCCTCAATTTATTCACTGCTTTAACTTTGGTCAACAAAACTCATTTTACACACCACAAGAGGTAAGTTATCAAACGTTAACTTAGCTAAACAGCTCTTAAAATATTTAACTTTTCCTGACTTTAAGTAACTAACGCTAGCCGAAGCTGGCAGAACGTTAGTTTCAGTGGCAACCAAGTTATCTAACTAAGCTACAAAAGGATTTAAGTGAATGCTAGACATTTAAAAAAAGAATAGCTAGAGAAACTTACAAACTCCTTGTCTTTTTCCTTCCTAAAGCTGAATTTTAACATTATGAAAATAGGTTTTGACCCTCTCTCCAGTAACGTTAACTTTAGGTAATTAACGTCGCTAATTTAACTTCAACGTTACTGTTCCAGTTTAGTCAAACCGCTTGACTCGTTTGCCGCGTATGCTTTCAGTCTAATTACAAACGTTTTATTTGTCATTGTCATATGTTTCAAGTTAGCTATCCTCCTGTACCAACATGCTAACTACTTATACTCAAAAGGTTGGCTTGTTTGAGATTCATCGTATCTAGACGCTACAACACAAGAAGGCACGTCGATACAAAAGTGGTGCTGATTGGCTAAAGTGAGACGAGAAGCCAATCAGCGAGTGATATAATCCACCTAGCAACGACGTCCTTACCACCCAGCAGACTGGCCAACAGGGGGCGGTGTCTTCCCATTCATCCATCCATGATTTAATAATTATACTGTAAGATCAGTGCACAAGGCTCTTGTAAACAAACATCTTTCCTTATTTCTTTCTTTCTTCATCAATAAATCAAGCATATTAATTATGTTGCACACAGTAGCCTATTGTATATCACAAACAGTACATGTTAAATTGAATGCTTCCAATTAAAATATTGTAGCCTTACCTATTCCAAGTATAACCTACATTACACAGATATCACATTGCTGACAATTGAAATAGTTATTTTCTCTTCAGTACACTTTGTTCTCACTATGCTTTAAACACTGTTACATTGCTGCAAATGTAGGGGGGTATAGTGTTACGGCCAATTTAGAGTCATGCAAACTCCACACAAAAAGGCTCAGGTCAAACAGTAGCTTTGAACCCAGAAACCTTTTGCTGTGAGGCTACTGCTGCACCACCATAACAAGTGTAAAAACCAGAAAACTAGAAAATCTCATGCGTTGATGACTTGCATCATCTGGAAGTATGCCAAAAGAAGGTGTTCTGGAAAGTGAAAAGATGCAAAGCAACAAAATTAATGAATGTTATTACATATTTCTTCTTAGTTACATCTAAATTGTAATTTAATTACAAGAACTAGTTACACTCCAACACTGTTCCCAGCCTGCTTGGTAGTTAGAAACAGTGAGAAACAGAGAACCACAAATGCATATTAAAACAAAAATGAAGAAATTTGTTTGTTTTGCCCCCCTTTTTTTTTATTGGGATTACAGATATGACACAAAAACCAAGATTTACACCACAGTTGCTATGCAGCACAATGTACAGAAATGAAGCAAAGACAACCTGAAACATCTAGAAGAACAGGTATACAACCATCTCACCATACACCAAGGTATTTAGAATCAATATGCACTTTGAAATGCATGGAAATATCCGTCTACAGTATCATACCTGTGTACATAGGTACACATGCTTCTGTGTGCGCATGTAATCAGTACTTACAGTATTAATAGAATCAATTACTGCATGTTCTTAGTATACATACAATTGTGACATTTTCCTTCATAATTTAGCATAAATGGCACTTGAGATACCTTTTAGTATGGTAAACAGAGACAGTATAGAGTGTTACATTTTCTGTGCTACTGTTTAAAAACATTTTCCATTTTAAAATATATTTATATAGGCAAATTGTACCAGTATATAAGCTCACCAAAGGATTATGCAAAGAAAGTAACATACATTCTTCCAAGAGACCAACAAAGACATCCAATGTGCAAAAGTTCACAATTTGACAATTAACAAACTAGTTCAGAAACCTACAACTTAGTGGCAAATATATATATATGTTTGTGTGTATATTTATTACATAAATGATTTGATTATCAAATGTGTATAAGAATCTACTTTGTAGATAAGATAATCCAACACTGCAAAGTGTCAGTAAAAGTGGGATGGGACTAATGTCATGACAGGTAGAGAAAATACTAGAAACCTGACTGTGGGCTTTGATCAAAGTACATACTCAGTCTGCCCACATTCTTTCC